CTTATACCATTTATTCCATTTCGCTGTTCAACTTAAAAAATTTTATAATCCATTTAACATTTTAGGATCATGATCCAGACTCAGAAATTGACCTGCACAGATCATCCAAGTTCCCTTAAAATGGTCCTTGGAGCTGGGGACGAGATATGAACTGAACGTTGCATTTATCTGCACTGAAGGAGAAAATATTGTTAAGTTTGGAGATGACATGACAATTGACATGCAGCACCCTTGCAGCGCCCTCCTCACACTCCACGCTGCCTACTATGTTTTTAACATCTCTTAGACTCTTACCCTCCAAAATGGAAAGACGTTTTCTTGTCCATTGATATCATTTTGTGTGGCATTAAAGATGCTGCGGCGAAAAGAATTTCAGTGCAAAATTTCATGTCACAGCTTCATGCGTGATTCTGTATATTCAAGATGTTTGATATATAGTTGTGAGGTTGTTTAAGCATGCACGTTGCTATATAGCTTTGATAAGCTAACGGAAGATAAACATATTGTGAAAACCAAGATATATTCATTGAGTATAGCTGAAAGGCTATAATAAATTTCTGCCCATGCATTGATAGGGAATCCGAGGTATATCAATGTAAAGGTAGATCTTTCTCCCCAATCATTGCAAGCCCTTAAGTATAGTGGTCCAACCAAGGATTAAATCCGGGTTCTAGCTTGAAAGGCAAGCGTGCATGGTGACCATTCACGACACGACATAAGCTGCTATTAATGTTTTAACTTTTTCATTTATGCACGAATACCTGAAATAAAGCCTTGTTTTAATCCACATCTTGAAATTTTCAATATTTATATCTTGGTTCCTTTTTAAATTGTTGCGACCGGTATTGTTAAATCTTTTATACTGCATGTATGCATGGTTTATTAATTGCACTGCATGTATTTGACTGAATGATTATATTGTATTAGATGTAGTTTAATTAAGTAATAATCAATTCACTTATGAATTTCTCAAATATAGCATTTATTGATTGTTATTTGAGTGATATGTTTATTATGTTGTATTAAGGCGATTCGTGTAAGTAATGCATGCGCATCATTTGCACATGCTAATTTGCTTCCCTTGCAGTGTTGTTTTGGGGAGAAAATTTACCCCTACTTTCTATGGGGTAAAAATTACTCCCGTAACAGAGGTGCAAAAATTACCCCTATAAAGATAGGGGCAATTTTTACACCTCTCTCACGGGAGTAATTTTTACCCCATAGAAAACTATGGGGTAAAAATTACTCCCGTAACAGTGGAGTAAAAATTACACCTATTTTTATATGGGGTAAAAATTACTCCTTAAGAGTGGAGTAAAAATTACCCCATTTGAGAGGGGTAAAAATCGCCCGAAAAAATCGGGGCGTTCATTGGAAACCATGTTACCCCATATTTTGGGGCAATTTTTACTCCCTGAAATTTACAGTGTATACTTAACAAAGTTAAACAGGCGTCATCATAGTTGCATCTGGCAGTTAAATACAGTGTACCTTCCCTGTTAATATATTGAAGCAACTAAAAAAGCTCTGTTAATTTGTTTATCATGCCAAATACTGGGAAAAACTCTGCAAGAAATAGTAGGTTTGCCTTCGACATGTTAAATGGTAGGTTTAAAAGTTTTATACATGCAATCTTTTTGCATACTTTTGGATGTAATGTTAATTAAGGTACGGTACATACTACATGGCAAGAGAAAAACTTTTTAAAGTATTATTGCAAAAAGTATTGTAGATGTAATTAGCTCCACAGCTTCATTGCCTACATTTCAAAAATATTTTATCCTATATTAATCAACTAGGCAGACATCACCTGTTTGTTGTATATAACTGTCACCTTGTTACATTTATATACATGTTGTTAAAGATAAAATAAGACACTAATTTTGGATGGAATTGCCAGAACTATTCTTATTGCTATTACTTCAAAAACATTACACTAATTATTTCAAACTTTTATTGCAGATTATGGCAAAAAGTTTAAAAAGTTTGATAGAAAATTGCTTCCACAAATACAACACCAATGAATCTGAAAATGTTTTACACAATATTTATGATGCTTTCGTGAAGTTGTTCAAAATGCACTTTTTAGGTGCTACTTTTTAGTGGCTGTTATAACGAAAGTGTATGTTCGCATAAGCCACAGTGTGGCTGGACTGCCCTTGTGCGCCAAGGTTGAGTTACACCCTGGTGTTAGCTGGGTGGGGGACACCATGGCGGTTAGAACTGTTTCACATACTATTGATGTACAGGTACACAGTTTTATTTATTAATGTTTATTAAACATTTTAACAATAAAGATTTATTAAACATCTTGTTTTTCTCCAGTCCAGAAATGTTTGTTTATACCAAGTATGTATTTTCTAGTTCTACATATCACAGTCGTGTTGAGGGAATCCATACCCGTTCCACTCACCATAATTAAACGAAAGAGTCATTTGTCCCTTTGAAAAGCTATACGTGAAGGCAAAATCTTTAGTCGGAGAAACCAGTACTCTTGTTTTGTGACCTTTGCGATTGCCACTCAATGTTCTATCAAAGTACTGAGTGATCTCATTCAACTTTTTTCCAGAAAGCCAGTGAAAAAATTGTTTTAAGAGAGGAAGGAAGGTAAAGGAAATCACCTTCCCCTTTTTATTTCCTGACACATAACAGAAAGGCGCTCTAAATTCAGACATATTTAGGGAACGAGCTAAGATTCATAAGATGTTAAACAGTTCAACTGGCATTTCCCTGCAAATCTCACAATAATATGGCCTTCGGATAGATCTCTTTCCCGCCAGTCTTCGGTGAATACGTTGAAGCCATAACAGGCTTTCAGATCGGAAAATAACAGCAGCGTTCACTGACGAAGAAAGCAATGTTTGAGTGAGAGATACCACATTTGGGTCCGATTCTTTTAACTGGCATACGTTCGCCAATGGCAACAACATTTCCTCGGCAGTTTTTACAAATACTGCTTTATTAAAGTTTTTACCGCCGTCAAATTTCGCCAACAATTCCGCTTACCTTTTGTTTATACTTTTTTCACAATCGTCGCTCTCCCCCTCCGCTAAATCGGTGCCATTTGCACTACTCCCATCCTTAAAAACTTCGTTGATTACTTCTTCGACACTGAAACGTTCCGCCATCTTGATTATTTTGAGGGAAGTACTTCATCTTATGCAGACATAATGGATACATTGAAGCGAGACCCCGCTGACCAAAGTGAATGTCATACATGATGTTTTTACAAATTTTATGGCCGGCGTGGGTGGTCCCGGCAAGTTACGGTCGTATTGGGAAGACAAAGTTTACAATATCGTGCGTCAGAAATCAAATGAGATTCCCGTGTATGAAGTCATTCCTGAGAGTGGCGGGGAGAAGACAAGAGTACTGCACAGGAACATGCTATTTCCATGTACGTATCTTCCTGTGGAGAATCTTATTGTGAAACCAGCTCAGTTATTAAAGAAGAAAAAGGGGAAACAGGTCACACAAGATTATCAGACAGATAGTGAAAACGAGTTCGGGATTGTTACGTTTGCACTTGAATTAACGCGGACAGATCCAGAAGATGAATTCGTGCCAGTGTCGGTTGAAAATGAAGCCCAGCAGAGTGTTGAGGAAGCTGTACAAGAAGGTGCCACACCAGAAGAACCAGCTCAAGAGAGTCAAGCTGCGACTAGTACCACGGTAGCAGCGGAGGCTGAGACACAAGTTGATTCACACCCAGTTAGTTCACAACGAGTACGACGACCACCAACCAGACCAACCTCGTACCCAGGGCTAGTCGCAAATTGAAGGCGGCGACATAGCCCTGGTAAACGCTGGTCACGTGACTCCAAAATTACGTAATTGTTACTTTTCTCAACCGGGGGGTGAATAGCAGAATAGGTGAAACTCGAAGACAAACAGTTTTTATCTCCGAAATTCTTCAATCTTCCTTCTGAATTTTTCACTTCAAGCTTTTCTCAAAGTACGGCGATCGATCAAATGGATCAATACTTTCTGTAGAAAAAACTCAGTGAGATTTGTTCGTATGAGACGTTTAAAAGACATGGATATGTCGCCAGAGACGCTCGATCATTGCACAGGTTTATGGAATAGTACTTTGTTCATTTTGTTGCGACTTATGCAAACCCAACTCTTGTATAATGACTAAAAGTTGGTTTGTAGAGGGACAACTTATACAAAAGATATGAATACATTAGCTTCAAACAGGGACAAGTTCATGGACAATGGACATCCCTAATATATGGACATTGATATTTCACCAATATGTAAATATGACTATTAAATATATAAAAGGATTCCTGTTGTATTACTTGTATATGTATATGTACAAGTGTTGTGCTGTGGTATCTATGGACTAGAATTTCTGAGGGGGTTGAAAAAGCCGTTTCTGAGGGGTTGTGTGCATCGGCATGACGGCATCCTTTGATCTTTGCATTTTTTCTGAGGGATAAGGCAAAAATTTCTTAATTTCTGGGGGGGTGTTGGTGTCGGCACTTTGATCTTTTTTTCTTAGGGGTTCAAATTTTATTGAACTCGTCCATAGGGGGTGTATACATTAATTAATGGAATGGCCCAATGCACCCAGATGCACCCTACTTTGTTAGTTTACTCTGTCTAACGCCAGACAATTTTACTCGTCAGGTGGAGGGTGCATGGCGCAATTCAATGGGTTAACATAGTCGATGAACATGCCAAATGATCCTTGACCGTGGTAGTACATTTTTGCACTTGCTGGATGATATTGCAACGAAGCATTGTTTCAGAGGAAGAGCACTGAGATCATGCTGTGTAGCAATTGGAATCTCACATAGAGCCTGCTCTCACATAAAGCAGGCAAGACCTTCACTCAGAAGCCAGTCCTGATTAATATTAATTCCCCACATAAACACTTGGAAACCACACTGTCCCATCTGCCATATGCAGGACAAAAAAACATGCAGCCTGGACTTTAACTGTTAAACAACCAAATCAGCATGATAAACAGTGTGATGATTTTTGTTTAGCCCAAACCAAAGCCAGGTTTCTAGAATTAATTTGCAGAATCCTAAGAATTGGACCTCCTCCAACTTGAAGAGCTAGCTGTGCTAACCAAGTTCCATGGGCAACCCTGAATTGACATGACTAGAGCAAACCTTCAAAAAATAATAGAGAGATCAGATTTGACTTCCACTGCTGCTATTGCTACCATTAACTAGATAAGTTTCATTTATCCAATCAAACAATCGGATGCAACTGCCAGATCAAGTAGTGGTAGTGGAAGTTAAATTTGAACCTTTCTATATGGATTTCAGAGAGACCAGTCATTATTTGTTGATATATTATTATAACTTGTTTAATCAAAAGCTTACTATATATTCATGATATTAAAAATTGATATAATTTTATCTAAGTGAGAATAATTTTAAAAAAACATTCATAACATAAAATGATTCATGCATGCTGGTGATTGAATAAACCATGAAGTGTGCAATCTGAATCTCTACAAGTTCCTTGACATTATTTTTCCAGTACAGTGTAAAACTATATATATAAATGTGACACAGGTTGCAGGTATTAGGTTGCATGTCCACCAGTGTGCTGAAATACCATCCAGTGACCCAATCTGGTTCATTGTTACTTGCATCTTGCTTAATTCAACTGTTTTCGCCCCATTTCTTGTACCCATAAAGTTCTTTTCAATAATCTAGAAAACTTCAAAATCATTCAGTAAATTTAATTTTAAAATTGGGTGAAAGGTAAGGGGCCAATAATAGATGAAGAAATCATTTCTTATTGTTCATACATATGGCCCCCATCTCTGTCAGGTATTAGAGTAGAAATTTATTGAAGCCTGAAGTCAGAAAATAAATATGGCAACATGGTTACATGCCATACTGCAGAGTTAGGCAATTTTTTTAAAGATCTCAAGGGCACAAAAGGTATAAATATAGATTGTAGGGGCAAGGGAAAATTGAGACTCAGGGGCAGGTTTTACAATGGGTTGCTAAAACTTTTCCCTAAAAAATCCCTGACCAGCTGGAGTGCTGAAACTGATGTTTGACTATTGAAATATCCTAGCAGGTTAGGTTCATCAGATTTTAGCTTTGTCAACCTGGCCACTCTGTTATTACAGTAATGGCTCATTTAAATAATTTCAGGTCATTACTGTAAATGTAAATACAAAGTATTTGAAGTTTAATAATACTGCTGTAAAATGTAGTTTAATAATATTGTATTAAAGTGTAAACACGTTTCTCAAGGCTGGCCATGTGTTTCTCAATATTCACAATATTTAACTACAATTGTACAAATTCAACTATATTTAATAACATACTGTATAAAATATATTACAGTAAATAGCCTTCGAAATATATATTTCATAGAGCTAGACAGTGTATAAACAAATAATGGGAATCTGCTAAATAATTTGTAACAATGAAATACTTCTAAACATTTTCAAATTCATATATACTGTACCTTTTTATACTTGATGGAAATCATCACAAATAGTATGTACGAGATTGGCTCCATTTTCACTGCTTCGAGTTCGAAACATCGCCTCCTCGGCGATTTACATGATGCGATATAAAAGAAGATTGATGTACATTCGACGTAATATATAATCGTAACATATTAAGAAGAAACAACAAAAAATAAAAGAATATAAATAATCCGCGGCAATTCAAGATCCATTCGTGAACTTTTCGTCGCCCCCCTGTCTTTATTTCCACAAAGCCCGCTCGCAGGCTAATACTCCAAGAATCTTGGAGTATTTGCCTGACACGTGACCAGCGTTTACCAGGGCTATGTCGCCGCCTTCAATTCGCGACTAGTCCTGGGTACGAGGTTGATTCATCCCAAGTGGAGGCGAAGTACCTTTGCGAAGTTCAAATCCCAAGTCCCCAGCGTCGCAAACAAGTGGGAAGCAAATCATAAAATTCCAATTAGTGGCCAACTATTTCCAGCCTTATACTTTACTACAAAAGTCACGAAACTATTTTCATGCAAAATACAAAACAAGTGTAACTCCAAACATCGATAATATTTCTATAGAATTATTTATCAACGTTAATTTCGACTCTATTTCAGTCATCATCAGAATAAACTCCTGATGATGACTGAAATATAGTCGAAACGTTGATAAATATAAAATGTTATCGATCTTTGGAGTTGTACTTGTTTTGTATTTTGCTAAAATACTCAGTGGTTCTAAAAATATTTTCATGCATGAAATTAAAATAGTTTTTCCTATGTATTTTTACATACTTTTTTTGAACATCTGAAAGTTAACTTCATTTATTTGAATTAACATATTGAACATTTCAACATATTTATCGAGTACAAACTTAATGATATACAAAAACCAGAAATCCCAGACATAAGATATTCAATCTACTTCCATACTAATTCACACAATTATCACTTTGAGGCCTGGCTAATTCAAGTGTAAACAGTGGACTGTGTATAACACGACAATGTAAATCTCAAACAGTCTTAGCGGGATAAGGTAGTAAAACAAAATATGTCGAAGTAGCTACTGTAATGTTGGCCGTGTTTTAGCTGTTGTTTCCCTTGCATGCATTTTACTCCCAGTAGGGTATTTTATGCGGAGTTAAATAAACAAATGTTGTAAAAATTTACTCTGCACAAAATGTAGAAAAGCAGTATGGGTAGTAAATTAAATCAGGCCAGTATTGCACTAAATTCTTCGACAGACTTAATGCTTTACAACCTGCGATTTGGGCAGAAGTTGCAACTATTTACCTTATTCTCATGCAGAATTTGCAATTAAAAACATCGCATTATACAATCCACGACTACTTACTGCTGGAGCCATATTTCAAAGTGACATGCAAATTAGTACGTAAGGAAGTACTACATGCGAATATAATTTGTGACCATGCGAATATGATTTGTGACCATGATTTTGCTGTTATTGTTAATTGTTTCAAACTGGCTACATGCAGTATATACACTTTTGGCGTGTATTAATTAATGTTCGATAACGAAATATTACTTGAATAAGTACAAATTTCAAACCGTATAGGTTTCTCAAACATTGGATTCATAGAGTAACTCTTCTTGTCCATTCTAAAAAGAGGATATACACATATTGTTAAAGCATCAGGTGAACAACATGATATGCGAATCTTATATACGGAATGGGTATACATGCAAGAGTTCCAAGCCAAACTGGTTTATAACTGGGATGCATAAAAAAGGAGTTCTGTTTTTTTGCTTAAAATTTTCATACTACAATATATAGTCCTAGCTGGTAAAATAGTTATGCACTTTAGAGAACATTTAGTCGAAGAAACCACTTAAAAGACGGCGAAAATATGTGATTAAGTAATTATATACAAGTAACTATAATTTCAACAATTTTGCCTGTAATATGCAAAATATGTGCTTAATAACAAATATTCCGTTTCTTGTCACATTTTAGTAGTATAGCAGCAGATTTATTATTAATATACGGTTTAAAGTTTGCTCCCTACAATTAATTAAACGTCTAATTGAGACTACCTTATTATAGGAAATTAACGATGCACTTTATTAACGCGGATTTAAAAAATTCGCGTTAATTTAATTAATGTTAATTTATGTTATTGTTAATTTTAAGCATGCAAATTAATTTTAGTCACCGTTAATTAAAAACACTTTAATTTGTTTTATATAACACGAACTCTTTTAACTCATATTAAACCTCAAAACAAAGACATCAGTCCACCTCTTCACTGTCACTGTCAGAGTCTTAAGCTGAACTACATATTTATATACATTGGCTTAAATGACTGTAACTTTCAACGTTATAGTTTTGACATATCTGCTCGCGTACTGTTTTAATTGGTAGTATACAATATTAAATTTTTGCTGTTGAGTTTATATTATTCGACTCGCGTTAGTTAAATTAACTTGTTAACCATAAATTGTCAGATTCGCGTTAATTAAATCAGTTTTAGAAGTACCTGGAAGCAATTAGAGTTAATTACTGTACACGACAAGTTAATTTATGTCGCGTTAATAAAGTGCATCGTTAATTTCCTATAATAAGGTATATTTTGTAATCTTTTTGGTTCTTCGGGGAAAGAATTTTCTACAACATTCCCCCGAAACATTTAGAAAAAACAAAGGTTTTACGCCATCTTTCTTCTCAACCGTGGTCCGGCCGTTACGTAGTAGCTCTATCACTGCTAATAGGAAGTTAGAAACCTAAGGCGACCTTGTATTTGCAGATTATTTATTCTGATGGCCAGAAGCAAATTTATTTACTGCTTCGTGGACAAACAATTCCGTTTGCATGCATGTCGCATTGTCAAAACAACCCAACATGACTACTGTGGAATGCGAATGTGCTGCTTTTTTTTGTCGTCTTTATAGGCTGTTGAAGCCAACGAAGACCCTATAATATAATAGTTCTTTTCAAACCTTTTGCACGGTTTTTCAGAGGTTTGAAAGCCCTAAAAGTGAAGGTGACAGTTTGACCACTTTCTTCGATCAGTACGAGTAAAATAAGTGGTATAGCCTTTTGAAATGATTTAATTTAAAAGAATATAAAAACTATTTGTTAACAAAGCAATATCAACGAGAGTTCACTGTTCGACGTTTTTCATAAACCCGACAAAACCAACATGGTCTCCAATTAAACACGTGACCACTTAACTAATAAAACAAATCGGAAGTCCGTAATGTTTATCTTATATAAAGTTTACGAGTGTATACTTTCAACACTCCTGCTCACTCGTATAACTGTATGTTCATTTGTAACTAACTCCGAGCATCTTTCTAAGTTTGGTAAACTGAACAACACTTAGTCCCTTAGTAAAAATGTCAGCGATCATTTCTTCAGTGCTACAGTATTCCAGTTTAACTGCAGCACTAGCAACATGTTCTCGAATAAAATGATACTTTATATCAATGTGTTTTGCACGTCCATGGTACTGTGCATTCTTTGCCATACAGATTGCTGCTTGATTATCTTCAAGTATCAACATTGGACCGGTTGGCTTGCTCTTTAGATCACTTAGAAGTTGTTGTAGCCAAACTGCTTCTTGGGTTGCAATTGCCAATGCCATGTATTCTGCTTCAGCAGTCGAGAGAGCCACACATGACTGTTTTTTGCTTCGCCAACTGATAGCTGCGTTGCTTATCTGGAAGACATATCCCGAAGTTGACTTTCTGTCATCAAGATCTCCAGCCCAGTCAGCGTCTGAATACCCAACACATGAAGTCGTTGTCTTGCTTCCATCATAAAGTAAGCCCATATCTCGAGTTCCATTCAGATAACGCTTGATACGTTTAACAGCAAATAGCAATCCAATGCTCCTCCGTTGGATCAGCACTGAACCTTGCTACATCGCTCACGGCATATGCGATGTCTGGTCTTGTTTTCGTGGACAGATAAAGTAGATGTCCAACGGCACACTGGTAGTTAACTTGGTCCACTCGTTGACTGTCGTCTGCTTCCTTCTTCAGTTTTGTCCCAGGGTTAACAGGTGTGCTTGCTGGTTTCGAACTTTCCATGCCAAATCTTTCCAACACACTCTTCGTGTACGCTTCTTGGCCAATCCAAATTTCTTTTGAATCTGGTTTCTGGATAACTTTCACACCCAGGAAGTAGTGTAGTTGACCCATATCTTTCATTTGAAATTGCTCAGCGAGTGCTTGCTTCACTTCATTGATTTTCTGATCATTCTTTCCGGCCAAGAGAATATCATCAACATACACAGCAATAATGAATATCTCTCCACCTTCTTCCTTTACATAGATACATGGATCACCGGTGGTTTGTACAAAGCCCATATTCTTCAATTTTCTGTCGAGAACAGAGTTCCAACAACGTGGAGACTTTTTAAGGCCATATATACTTCGACGTAACCTGCAGACCAGGTGTTCTTTTCCCTTCTCAATGAAACCTTCCGGTTGTTTCATGTAGACTTCTTCTTTGAGATCTCCATTCAGAAATGCTGTTGTGACGTCCATTTGATGAAGCTTTAAACCATGCTGTGCAGCTAACGCAATAACTGTTCGAACTGATTCAAACCTTGCTACAGGTGAAAATGTTTCATCATAGTCGTCACCAAATGTTTGACTGAAACCTTGAGCTACGAGCCGGGCCTTGTGTGTTTCAACTGTTCCGTCCGCATCTGTTTTAATTCGAAATACCCACTTGCTGCCAACGGCTTTACGATTCTCGGGCAGTTCAACTAGGTTCCATACTTCGTTAGTTTTAAGGGATTCCATTTCTTTTTCCATTGCTTTCACCCATTTTGCCTTTTGTGGACTTGACAAAGCCTCTTTCACGGTCCTTGGCTCGTTTTTATCATGATTTGCAGCTGTTGCCCACTCTCCATAGTAGGCAGGTGGTCTTCGATCTCTTTCTGACCTCCTCGTAACTTGAGGCTCAGGCTCTTCGTTTACAACAGGCTCTTCGACATCAATGGGCTCTTCAAACTCAAGTTCCACAAGTGTGTTTTGCTTTGGCTCTTGTACTTTCACAACTTCAGGTTCTTGTGAAGATTCATTAAACTGGACATCACGACTATGAAAGACTCTTGCACGATTTGGATCATAAAGACGATAGCCCTTCGTTTCAGTGCCATAACCAAGAAGAATACATTTTCTGGCTTTCGAGTCAAGTTTCTTTCTTTCGTCCTTTGGCACATGAGCATACGCTTCGCATCCAAACTCTCGTAGATGCTTCACATTAGGTTTCTGACTTGTCCAGGCTTCAAAAGGAGTCTTTCCTTTGACTGCAACTGAGGGACTTCTGTTTCTAAGATAAACAGCAGTTGGGAGTGTTTCAGCCCAGAACTTGTGCGGGAGTTTAGCATCTGCTAACATGGATCGCACCGATTCCACCAGGGTCCGGTTCATCCTTTCAGCGACTCCATTTTGTTTCGGTGTCTTGGGCACAGTCAATTGGTGTGTTACCCCTTCTTTCTTCAGATAATTCTCAAACTCTGTCGAGGTGTACTCCCCCTCGTTGTCTGTGCGGAAGACTTTAACCTTCCTGCCAGAGGATTTCTCGACTAAGGCTTTCCACTCCAAGAATTTTCCAAAGACTTCGTCTTTGTGTTTCAAGACATAAACCCATACATAATGAGTGTGATCATCGATAAGTGTTAGAAAGTACTCAGTTCCACTAAGCGATTTTGCACTCATTTTACCACATACATCACTGTGTACCAAATCAAGGGGCATTTTAGCACGTTGACTTTCGTTGACTGGGAATTTACTTCGATGATGCTTTCCCTCTGCACAAGATTCACAGAAATCAATGTCCTTTGATTTGTCATAGTCATAGCCATCAACCAGGTTTTCTTTTGCCAACTTTTGGAGGTTTTGAACACCGAGATGTCCAAATCGCTTGTGCCAGGTGACCTCTTTGCTTCCTATGCTTGAATATCCTACAGTAGGGTTTGCTTGATGACTGTTCGTGCAATTCAGGTAATACAGGTTTCCTACTCTTTTAGCAGTGGCAATCAGCTTCTGACTTTCATCAAGAATGCGACATCCATCTTCATTAAACTTCACAGTCTTTCCAGACTTTGTAGCTTTAGACACGCTCACTAGGTTATACGATAAGCTTGGAACATAAAGAACATCTTGCAGTACACAGCTCTTTCCCTTTTGGCCATTTGGAGACTCTATTTTTGTTTTAACGACTCTCCGTCCAGTTGCTTTGACAACATGACCATCTCCAAGAGTAACATCTTCAGGCTTTTCCAAGTTATGCAATTTCACAAACTGACTCATATCATTGCACATATGACAAGTTGCTCCAGAATCAATTATCCATGTATTTGTTCTCCCGTTTACAGAACTAAATGCATGATTCACCATCAATCCCACTTCATCACTATCTGAGCTGCTGTCTGTTCGTCTGGATTTGGCTGCAGTGTTAGCTTTATGTTTGTTGTCAATACCCTCATTAAACTCACTTTTATCCTTTTTTTTTTTTTTATTTTGAAATGATTTAATTTAAAAGAATATAAAAAACTATTTGTTAACAAAGCAATATCAACGAGAGTTCACTGTTCGATGTTTTTCATAAAAAAAAACACGACAACCAACATGGTCTCCAATTAAACACGTGACCACTTAACTAATAAAAACAAACCGGAAGTCCGTAATGTTTATCTTATATAAAGTTTACGAGTGTATACTTTCAACAGTTTGTATAATTTAAAAGCAAACAGAAACCAATTTAGCAAGTTAGTTTGAGGTATATATGATTCTCGAAGATGAATTAGATGACTGTACAGAACGACCACTCCTTGCAATCGAACTGCGGAAGTGGAAACATGTAATATGAGACTTTTCCATCCCCCTCTTGGGCTATCAATTTTCTATGGGTCACGTGACCAGCTCCGACCAGGGTCTCTGCTTCCCAAGAGCAAAGAGCCTGGGAACGAGGTTGCTGGGAGAGACCCTGGCTGCGGCTGGTCACGTGCCTCCCAGATTCTGGGAGGTAAATTTAATTGTAACTGTGAGAGGGGTGGGAAAGGAGTGTGTTTGTAGCGTTTTAAAATTGCAACTTTGGGTGATGAAATTTACTGTAAATTTGCAACAAGAAATCGTAAAGAGAAATCTTAAATTAATATTTATATCGTGACGTTCTACTCTATAATCTGGTGTCGAGTTACAATTCAAGCAAGTTGGATCAGATTTCATTATAGACTTGTCAAAGAAAGCACGCTTGCGGCGGCTTTCCGCTTGTGCAGCGTGGCAATATTAAACCTACAAGACCGAACAGTGTGGTTGTTATTTATTTAGTATTAAAGTCCATCCTGATATTCGGACCAAAAGAATTTATTTATTGATGAGATGTGGAATTGCATTGAATATTTAAACAACACGAGACTCCAGCACTGCGAGTAACGATTTGCTTGGTTTCTTTGACTTGGCTGTAAGTAAGAATGTTCTTGTAAATTCAAAGCAAAGAAAATAAACAAAAATTAGCAAGTATTTTGAACGTAATAATTCGCAAAATTTATGTTTTTAACGAATATCCCACTGGAGGCATGTTGATGTAATTTGATACTTTCCCCACACCCCCTGGGGCGCTAAATTTTTGATGAGGCACGTGACCAGCCGCAGCCAGGGTCTTTCCACTGAGCTATACTTATATATCTGGAGATCGTGCTCTCGACGAAAGTGTGTGGCCAAAAACATGGCGGATTTGACGTCACAATCTACCTATTTTCATGGGGGTTTCCACTGACCCGTGGCTCGAATGTTCGTGGGCGACAAAGTTCAACCCCCCCTGGATTTTACAGTGATTTTGTATGTTAAAATAGTTGATCGACAGAGAGTATATTTTTGATTTTCGTCCTTTTAAAAATACAGTATTATTCTAACTGCGCGTATAAATCAATAAAGACCGAAAGCCATTAATAAAAAAAGACATGAATGGAGCTTGACGGCCACGAGAACAAAGCATGTAAGTCATTGAAATGATTAATATCAATTCTTGTTGTATTGTGAATTTGTATTGCAACCATTGGTTGCAACTGAACTGACTATCAAGATTATTCTTTAAAACACGAGTATTATAACAATCCCCAGCAAGTAAAATTAAGCAAATATAGCTTGTTGAAAACCGTACTGCTATAAATTTCCCTGAGTGACAAAGGTTTTTTTAGAGATTTTAATACCAGTTTATTCTATTAGTAAATTGTGGGGAAAAGCAACTCTTTGGAATATAAAGCACTTATATCACCATTAAAGTTTTTTACACCTGTATGTGTTCCGCTTTCAGGTATGAATTTATCAAGAAAATATGGGATATCTGTACTAAGTACCAGATGGCAATGAAGAAAGTCAAGTGTATTTCTTTATAATGGTCTTCCTTGTAAAAGGCAATAGCACTATTTCATTGAACATTCAAGGAACAATCGCCTTTTAAAACAAATATGCACATTTTTATGCTCGAGTTACAATGTTTGATTTTGATATCTGCATTTTATGCGATTCATACCTTATTTTTAAGTGTTCCTCAAATATTGATTCAATACATTACCTCGGGCTGACCAATTCATTCCATCAAGATATTTGCTGTGTTGGTGTAATACATGTACTCAGGTGAATAAGATGCTTGTGTGATGTTACGTACTCTGAGTGGATATCCACACTGGGCAGGCTTGAAAAATATGCCTGGTCACAGTGGGATTTGAACCTACAACCTTTGGAATACTGGCCCAATGCTCTGCCAACTGAGCTATACAGTCGGGGCAGTTCGAGTATGCGATATTTCGGAACTGAGTCTAGTTCCTTCGATATCAGTGTAATCTAATAACCATGATATTTACACTGGCCTGTAGGCCAAGTGTCTTAAATCCCTCTTTTTCTGTTTTTTTCGTAGTCGAGAAATCGAGTTTGCGTTAGCGCATCGCAGGCTCAAGGTGCAACGATTAAGCCAAAATGCCATCGATTCCCTCCGTTCCATGATTCAAATACAATAGCAACAAATTACGTATTTATGTACGTACTAGCCGACTCATGCCATGCTTGTGGTACATTGTTCGTTTATTAGCCTATACACTTGTACGCACGCGCACAATTCCGAACTGCAATGGCGGCTTTTCACAGAGTGATCAAACTATATTTTACACAGTTTCGTTGAATTTTCAAAGAATTGTGCCCGTTTCCTATGTATTTTACGTTGTGTCGTACTCTGGACTTTCTTGCATGTTGAATTAATGTGTTTTTCTTTGTGTAATGACTCGAAAACCACAAAATATAATATTTAGTACTCCACGAAATATAATCCCCACGAAAAGATTTGTGGTAGCTGCAGTATACTGAAAGATAAAGCGTGCGTTCAAAATACCAACAAGAACTAGAACCATTATTGTATCATTTGTATGGTTCTCATTTGCTAGACTTGCCACAAGTCGACCTCGAAGAAACGCATTTCGTTCGAGGTCGACTTGTGGCAAGTCTACTCATTTACAATAACATTAGTTCGACGCGAATTTTAATACAAGTATGGTATCATATTTCATAATACAACAAACAATATAAACTAGCCATACTTTTTGCCGAACATAACTTCGGCCCCTTTGGACATATCCTTTTCGTGATAATGTTATTGGAACCAGAATCGAAAACATTATTTATAGTGTTATTTTCAAGCTTGTGTCTTGAGATTCTCATCTTTTATTTCGGTATTTACAGAATATTTATATTTTTAGCGCGGCCCATGGAACGCACATGAAAACAACGTGCTGTTAGGAAAAACCGGAAATCGATTCTGTAGGTCGGCATGATTTGCACGTGCCTCGATCTCCATTACGTCTCCCGAAAAGGTCTTTTATTTTTTTAAAAAGTCCATAAAATTTGCTTGCGGTTTAAGATTTGTATTCCTGCCTTTTGCACCATAGCACGTATCTAGTTATTTTCAGGCCAGTGTGAACGCCTGAGCAGGCGTCTTGTTGTGAATATGATGCTTGTGTGATGTTACTCTGAGTGCATATCCACACTGGGCAAGCCTGAAAAATATGCCAAGCCACATTGGGATTCAAACCGACCTGACCGCGTAGCTCAGTTGACAGAGCATTGCCATTTGGGCTAGTATTCCAAAGGTCGTAGGTTCAAATCCCACTGTGGCCAGGCATATTTTTCAAGCCTGCCCGGTGTGGATATACACTCAGAGTAACATCACACATTCAAGCATCTCATTTCATCACGTTCCTCCAGATATTCATACACTTCCTGTGAAAGAGCCAATTCGAAGTATTTAATCATTTCTGGTCACTTCCTTTCTATTTATGATTGGTTAGTTGCACAAACAACAAAGGTGATTGGTGCATTCAAACCATTTAACAGGAAGTTTACAATTATACTAGGAAGTGTATGAATATCTTGAGGAACTTAATCAAATGAATTGGTTAGCCCAAGGTAATGTATTGAATCAATATTTGAGAAACACTTCAATTGGAACGACAGTGAGGAATTATTAAAAAAAATATTTTATTCAAAAAAAGATTTTCCAAGATAATTATATAATTACATTTAGTAATAAGAATAAATAATATATTCAATTTCAAATCACAACAAAATTTATTCTTTATTTTTAAACACATACAACACCAATTTAATTAAATAAACTGCTCAACCAATTCTATGCATGTCAATCCCTACTTGATGGTCAGCACCTACAGTAATTATGCTAGCCTAATTTGTACACTAACCCAAATGGTCAAAATAAATGTAAAATTTACATTTATGTAGCAATCTTGGCTTAGCTAAACAGACCAAAATGTGTACAAATAACTTAAAGTTGTTAGCAGAAAAATTAAGGAATAAATTTAACCCATTGAGTGGCGAAGCACCCTATTTTAGTATTTTACTCTGTCTAACGCCAGACAATTTTACTCGTCAAGGGGAGAGCGCTGGCACTTAATGGGTTAATTACCCCTCATGTACAGTATGACCATTAATTGTACTGATAATAAACTGTAAAGATCACAACCAAGCTGACCAAAGCAATCATTAAAGATTGTTGGTACAGCATATGGCTTTAACACTGGTCTCTGGCTGTAATCCTCCTCAAAGATATCAGCACTAAAATCCTTTGAACACAAACGACTATTTTTCATAGGAACAAACTTCACTCTGTCTGGCATAAGTTTGGTTATATTCTTCACCCATATGCTGTGCAATTCAGGGAATCTCTTCTCATCTGGAAAGCTTTGAAGTAAATGAACAATTGTTTTTAGTGTCTAGTTAATACACTGTTCAATACGATACCTATAACTTACAATATAAACAATGCCACACTAGACTGTTAACACATGGTTTAGTCCACAATAAAGACAATACAATGAGTGAAAGGCTTT